TAATAATAATAATAATAATAATAATAATAATAATAATAATAATAATAGTAATAAATCCCACAAAGTCTTTCTGCTTCTTCTGATGTAATTGTTCTGGAGTGGATCCTGGATGCTATAATTTCTGAGACAATTCTGCTGGACAGTCGATGTTGAAAGTCATCAGCTGAGCACCAGTAGCAGCAGGCTTGCCTTTTCTAACATGCTCACCTTGTCTTTCCAGTTTCTTTACATGGTCCTTCCTCTCCTCTATTCCAAGTCCCCAGGTGAGTTGCAGGGGAAGATCAGAAGGACAAACCTTCTACAGTCTATTGTCTGGTTAATTCTTCTGTTATTTGTGAGGTTTCATACAAGTTGACTTTTTATCAGTAATAAAATTCAGGCTACTTAAGAAATTAATGAGAAATTCTCAAAAGAAAGAAAACCATCTCAAAGTGTTGGGTAAGCCAACTATTCAAAGACAACCCACTGCTGATACTACTAACATAGTAGTCTAATTTTCATAGATGTCTTGTTTTCTCTTGAGAACAGTGCTTTACTGTGTGCAATAGGAGTTGGCAACTTAATAGCCAAAAGGCCAAGTCTAGTTTGCTTTCTGTTTCTGTTTTTTTTTTGTTTTTTTTTGTTTTTTTTGTTTTTTGTTTTTTGTTTTTTGTTTTGTTTTTTTTTTGAGATGGGTCTTAAGAACTAGCTATATAGATGATGCTGGCTTTGAACTCAGAATTATTCATTTGCCTCTGACTCCCAAGTGCTTGGATTAAAAACATGTGTTCCCATACTCTGTTACTAATAAAGTTTTATTGAAACACAGGAATGCTTGTTGCTATTTATTGTCCTCTGGCTGCTTTTACACTTCAGGGGCAAAGCTGAGTGCTTGAAACAGAAATCACCTGGCTTCCTAGGTGAGTCTTAAGTGTTCGGTATTAACAAAAACCTTGTCAGTCCCTGGTATATACCAATTTGTAATTGCTTTTCTCACATTTTGCCTTTCACGAGCTTTCCCCCATGCTATTATAATTACTTCCCAAGCATCATTTCTAATAACAGGTTTCATTGCACATAATATATTTAAGTGGTGGTGTAGTTTTTCTCTTATGATAAGACATTTATGTATTTTTACCACCTTTTTACGCAACCCTTAAAATGCTTCAGGGAGTACGTTTGGGCATGAACTATTTCTCTCTTTCTTTCTCTCTCCATCTCCCCTACCCTCCTCTCTCTCTCTGCACTCTGTCATTGAGCTACATCCTTACCCTTGTTTTCCTAATGCATTAAGATGGCTGTCCAGGTTGTTTAGCTAGCAGGTAGCAGTAGCAGTAGCAGGCAGCAGGTAGGAGCATATAAACATTCTTGATACAGATGATAAAATCCCTACGCAAAGGCTGGGCAGAAACTTATACCTTATACTCTTTGATGACACAGTAGAGAACCCTTTCCATGTGTTTGCCAGAATTGAACATTGTCATTTTTAACATTTTCTTATTTTAGAGAGGCAAGCAAGTATTATTACCTTAATTTGCATTTCTCCTCCTTTGGCAAGGACTGAGCTTGTTGCTAAATGGCTGCATTTCTTCTACCTTATGGCTGCCTCCATCTTGCTTGGACTCCTTCCCAGGTCCCAGGGGAAGATTCTGGCTTGTCTCTTACCTTAGCTTGGAGCATGGCTCCTGCCTCTGCTCGGTTCTTTTCCACATCTCTCTCCCACTGAATTCGGATCGTCTCAAGGACATCATCCAGACCAGTGCCCATGGGAACATCTGTTTGCTCCAGCTCAGACCCTGCCAGCTGTTTGTACAGAACCTTCACATCCTGAAAGCAACAGTGGACATCTTAGGTCAGCCCCAGGGGAGGGAAGAGAAGATGTAGGATTCTAGCCAGAAGCAGGTCGGCTCTGTGGGCACGGCCTTGCCTCTGTCTGTCTATCTGTCTATCTGTCTATCTGTCTGTCTGTCTGTCTATCTTGCACCACGCATAGGCATCACAGAGACTGGGAAAGTCCCAGATCTTCTCAGTGTAGGTGTCCTTTCCTTTCCCCAAGGACGTGTTTCTTAGAGCTTCCCAAGCCCATACCTATGTCCAAAGCAAAACACGAAATAAACACATAATCAAAAGCAGGTACACAGTATTGTAATCTATAGTAAGTAACTACAGAAAATGCAAGTTAGGCATAAGGTCAGGATGTACTAAAGGGGATTAATTAAAGGTAATTCTGGAGTCTAAGGGGTTGCTGCTGGAGCGTGGTGTTCAGCAGCTGAACCAGGACTAGGAAGGAGCAGGCTTGTAGTCACTGTCAGCTTGATGCCAGCATGGTCAGTGAGCTGTGACTCCCAGCTTGGAGCACCCTGCACCATGAGTCAGAGAGGGATGTGTGTGGTGGCTTGTCATCAGTGTTTCCTGCTCGAGGTGCCCTCTGGGCCTGTCACTTAAAGACATAACCTTATTTTGTAAAGGAGTGTGTGGGAGCTACATGTGGGCCTGTCTTTAGAATGACTCAGTTTGTCCTGTTCATGCAGTGTTGAAAAAACAATATTTGAAACAGAATATGTTAGAGAGATGCTCCCTCAAGGTCCAAGTAGTTCTAACAGTCTCTCCTGATTATGACTGTCCCTTCCACTTATGTACCTTCTGGGTCCTGGAAGACATTTGGGTTTGAGGCTTTGGGTTTGATGGATGGATAATTTGGCGCATGACAAAGACTTTAAAGCCCTTTACTTTTCCCTGTAGGCCTGGGTGAGCAACAAAGAGAAGAGTCCCTAAGCCCCATGTTAGAAGGTTACAACCCCACAGGTGAGTTGCCTCGCTTTGAGGGGGCAGCCCAGCACCCCGCACCCCACCTACCTCTTCATAACTCCTTGACAGAAAGCCCAGTTCTTCTTTCAGGCTTTCTATTTGATGCTCCAGATCCGTCTTTGTCAAATTAGCTTCGTCAATGACTTTGTACAGGGAGCTTACTTCCTCTTCTGCTGCTTTCCTGAATGGCTGCTCATTTTCATATCTGCAATGGAGGGACTTAATCAGCATAGCTGGGTAGTGCCCAGAGGGGCAGACAAAACCAGATTGTAGATATTGCCCAAAGGCCCACATGTGATAGGCAGTGAATGCTGAATGCCGGTGTTTTGGTAGCTTTGGGGGCATTGTTACTGCTCTTGCTGAAGGATTGTTATCCTGAAAACATCAGCAGGCAGCTAATGGGAGCTTTGTGAGGCCTTTGGAGCCTAGGGAAGGCTGCTTCAGGGTTCGCAACACAGGAAGGCAATACGAATCTTTTTCCCTGTACTGAGTAGTCCTCTTCACTCAAGAATCTTCTACTATCGTTGAAGACCTGCTAAGAATCAAGCTGGGCATCCAGAAATGGCCAATGTGCTGCAATTCCAGGCAGTGGCTGCAAACTCAATTGGGCAGTGTAAAGGAGGAACCAGGTCAAAGAGTGGGCTCAGAAAGAGGTGGCGATGAATGCTATCAGAGCACATACTTCACTGAACCTACAGGGGGCGCTGCTGCCCAGCTCCAACCAATCAGACAAAAGAACAAAAGCAAACGGCTTTTTAAATAATGAGCACGTGAGTGGACACACTTATATCAAAACTATCCAGGCTGAGTTTCAACCCTTAGAACTTCTTTCTAAACACAGTGGGGAAGGGGTGGAGTAGGGGGAGGGGAGGGTTGGGAATTGAGCCACCAAGCAAGCACAGTCTCCTCAGCTGTGTCCCCAACCCCTGTAATGGACTTTAACATTTAGAACTCCCAGGGACAGTCCCGTGAAGACTTGTGTGACAGATGGTTTTTGTTGGAGCCTCTGTTTGTGTGTTCCTGGTGCTGAGGAACTCGTTCTCTCTCGAGGCCACTCAATGGTCCGTTTGTGGAAAGCTCTAATCATTGCTCATTTCTTTGTATGAAAGTTTAACTCTCTAGCCCTATAAAAAGGTGAGTTTGACCCTGGGAATACCCAAAGTCAGTCCTCTGGTAATCCTACAAAGTATGTAAAATAAGGATCCAGGGTCGTCCTGGTTAGCACAGTGAAATCCCATCTCAAAATAAGCCAAGCGTGGTGGATCACGCCTATAGTCTCGACAATTGAAAGGTGGAGAGAGTCAGGTTTGATGGCGCACACCAGTGATCCCAGCACTCAGGGCACAGAGGCAGGCAGATCTCTGTGAGTTCAAGGCCATCCTGGTCTACAAAGTGAGTCCTGGACAGCCAGGGCTACAAAGAGAAACCCTGCTTCTAACTACCCCTCTTACCCCCCTCCCCCAGAAAGAAAAAGAAAAGAAAGTTGGAGGCAGAAGGATCAGTAAGTAGTTCAGGGTTATCTTTGGCTATATGGTGAGACCTTATCTCCAAAAACAAAACAATGAAGGAACCAAACCAACAAAACAAAACAAAGAAACAAAGCTGGCAAGATGGCGTCGAATGTGAAGACACTTGTTGCCAAGTATGACAACCTGAGTTCAATCCCTGGAAACTACACGGTAGAAGAAAAAAAACCAACCCTTACTTGTGGTATTCTGGCTTCCACATGTGTGCCATGGCAAATATAAACACACACATGTACACACACTAAATAATTTTTCTTTAAAAAAAAAAAAAACCGCACCTTTTCTAAAGCAAGTGACACTGGGCACTGTCTCTGAGCCCCTAGGGCTTGGTTTTTGCTGCTCTGGGTTCTCTTAGAGTTTCTGTTGCGTCAGGCCACCTTTCCACGGTGGCGGGAGGGACTGGTGTGCGCTCAGGGGAGTTACCTACACGGGAGTCTGGAGTCTGGGTGGGTAGGGAGATCTCCCCACTTCAGAGCCTTACCTCTCTTTAAAGTCATCTGCGCCCGCCTGGATCGTCTCCATCTGTAGCATGAGCCGGGCGTTTTCCAAGACCGCCTCTCCCACCTGGAGCAAAGAGAAGAGGGCACTGAGCGCAGAGCTCTGGAGGCCGTGAGGGAGCTTCTCAAAATGGGTCTCCCTCTCTGAAGACAAGGTAGAGGTAAGAGAGCATAAATCTTTAAGATGTTAGAGTGAGACTTAGAATAAGATTTTGGGGATAAAATAGTGATTCAAAGGCATACTGGTTCACAGCCCCTGCCACAGCTTTGAGCTCTCCACTTATCCAGGTAAGGAAAAGCTCTGGCTCCTTCAGTGAAGTCTCACAGGCTTTATAAAGCAGCTCGTGTGTGTGTGTGTGTGTGTGTGTGTGTGTGTGTGTGTGTGTGCACACATATGTATGCATTCATATATAATATGTCATGCATATATATGTGTTCAAAGTTATTTATAGGAATAGTTGTTAATGGGGCTGGGAGAGATGGCTCAGCAGATAACAGCACCAGAGGACCGAGGTCTGCTCTTCCAGAGGACCGGGGTCTGATTCCTAGCACCCACAGGGTGGCTGACAATGGTCTGTGACTCTCGTCTCAGGAGATCTGAGATCTTCTGGCCTCTGTGATCATCACACACGCATGCTGGTACATAGACAAAACACGTATACACATAAAATAATAAAATGAATGAAAAGACAGCTATTTATTTATTTATTTATTTATTTATTTATTTATTTATTTATTTGAGACAGGATCTTGTTGTATAGCACAGCTAGCCTCAAACTCACAATCTCCATCCCATAAGTGCTGGGAGTGCAGGCGTGCTCCACCACACCTAGCCAAGAATTTTCATTTTCAGTTGGCAGTAGTTACGTATTTATTTATAGAGTACAATCCGAGGTTTTAATACATGCTTTACGTTGTGGGATGATTATATCAGGCTAATTAGCATGCTCTGCGTCCCTAATCATCAGGAGAATGCAAATCAGAACCACAGCAAGATATCACCTCCTACCAGAGAGGTGTATGTTATCTAGGAGATGAAGGATAACAAGCTCCGACGATGATGGAGAGCGACTGCATGTGGCCGCGGTGAGGGGAATTAATGCAGCCACCGTGGAAATCGACTCGGAGGTTCCTCAACAAACAAACCGAACCAACAAACAAAAAACCCTCACAAAACTAAAAATAGAACAAACCGCTCTATGATTTAGCTAAATATACACTCCTGGGCAGATAGGTTTCATTTATACATCCCCGAGGGCGCGTACAGTTTCTAGTTCTTTATTGAGTAGGAGGTGGAAGACAGGAATAAGGCTAGGAGGTGAGACCTACACGGGCAAGGAGCCGATCTACTTCATCTGTTTGCAACGTGCTCAAGGGTGAGGCTCAAGAAGAGAAAAACCTGATCTTTGCTGGTGGGAAATTCAATGAGATGAAACTAAATTGGATGGTCATATTGGGACAAAGGAGTATAGCCATTGGGTCTCCCACAAATGGAGCTTTGTGAAGCGGAGAGCTGATCTGGCAGTTAAAAGTGCCTGTGGCTCTTCCAGAGGACCTGAGTTCTGTTTCCAGAAATCCAGTCTCACGACTACTTGTAACTCCAGCTCCAGGGTATCTGGTGCCCTCTTCTGGCTTCCTTTGGCACCCGTGTGGCGTGTGTACACACACATGCCGCCAAGATGAATTTTAAAGAAAGGGAGATTTTTTTTCTCCTTAGCCAACCTCTCTTTTCTCCTACTGTTTTAAGATGTCCCCGCCCCCTTCCTGAAGTGTCAGCTTCTTGTTTGTTGCTGTGTCTCCAGGGCCAGGCTGGGACCGCTACACCTTTTTTTTCTTCTTCCGGCTGAAGATCTAATCCAGGGCCTTATGCATGCTAGGCAAGTGTGCTGCCACTATCTATCCCAGCTCTCCTTGTCCATTTTATTTTGTGACAGGGTCCCCTAAGTTGTACAGGCTGTCCTTGATTCAGTCTCTAGCCCGGGAAGACCTTGACATTGCATTCCCCTGCCTCAGCGTCCCGAGTAGCCAGGATTACAGGTCTGTGCCACGAGGCTGTCATTCTTTTACTTTTGTGAGACAGGGTTTCTCTGTACAGTGCAGACTGGCCTGGAACTCACTCTGTAGACCAGGCTAGCACTGAACATCTGTGATACTTCTGCCTCTGGCTGAGCGCTGGAAGTATGGGGCAGATGCCACCATGTGTCGGCAGGCTGGCATTCTTAAATACTTGGTGAATGAATACATGAATAAAATGAGTGGTGTGACCACGGGGGACGGTTCTCAGCCACTCCCTGGCTCTGCTCTTGAGGTTATTTCCAAGAAGTCATTAAGAAAGGAGTTTCTAAATGTTTCTAAAATGTTCCTGGAATGTTCTTTTTTTTTTTTTTTTTCCATGTGGGCTCCGAGTTCAAGTTTGTGTTGCCAGGCTTGGGTGGTGTTTTTATGCCCTGAGCCATCTCACAGGCTCCTTATTTCTGTCTTGAGACTAGGTCTCACTGTGTTGCCCAGGCTTGTCTTGAGCTCACTGTATAGCTCAATCGGGCCTTGAACTTTTAACTTTCCTTATTCAGTGCTTCTAATGTTTGAATGTGGAGCCCAGATGATCGAAAGTCAAGATTCTTAAAGTAAGTTTCTTTAAATTTTTGAATAATAAAGTTTATTAAAAAAGAAAAGGAAAAAGTCAAAGAAATAAGCCAAGTGTGTGTGTGTGTGTGTGTGTGTGTGTGTGTGTGTGTCCACAAATGTACGTGTGTATTTGTGTTTGGTGTGTGTGTGTGTGCATGTGTTTATGTATTGTCTATGCATGTGTGTTTGTATTTTTGTATGTGTTTGTTTCTGTGTGTGTATGGATGAATGGATGTGTGTGTTTGTGTGTCTGCATGTATGTGTATATTTGTGCATGCTTGTGTGTGTGAGCATGCATGTGTGTAGAGAGTAGGCTACAGTTCTACAAGTGCACAAAGAAGGTGGACCCATGGCTGCTTAAGTTTTACTATGCAGAACTGACACGGGGATTTGGATAGACAAGCTTTTTTCCCCAGAGCTTTTCTTTATTTTTGCTCTGCTACGATAGCATGAGACACAGGGCTTTGTGACATCTCCCATCTATTACAAATTCCTGATATTAGTTAATACAAAGGTGCTCGAGGCCATGCCCAAAGACACTGGCTAGAAACAGAGTTCCTGGAGGTGAGACGAGGCTGGTGACCCTGTTCCTGCTCCTCGGGGGCCTTTGAGTTCTTGTTCTGGGCCAAGAACAGGGGTAATTTGGATGCTGCCTGCTGGACAGATAGGGTGGCTGTGTTCAAATGTCCATCCTTAGAGGCTGTGTGGGGCCAGGGCTGGAGGAGGCTGGAGGCCTTCCTGCTTTTCACTGGTGTTTAGCAACAATTAAGGGTTTATTCCACCCCTAAGTGGGGACTGATTATAGGCCCTGGCTTGCCAAAGTACAGCCTGCTGGTCCTGCTTTCCCACCCCCTTCCCAGACAGAGATCCTAAAATAAACTAACGGTCCCCCCTCATCACCACGAAGGGCCCTGCATCCATCACTGCCTTCCCTAACCAGGCAGAGACACCTCCGTCTCTGTGGTTGGTGGATTCTCAGCCTTTGGGGAGTGGATGGGTCCCTTGTGGTATGAGGAGAGCTGGTATCATTGCTGGGGTTTAGTGCAGACTCGGGCCTGGTATGGTAGCCCAGAGGGGTCTGGACCAAAAGCAATGAAGCCTGTGAGGGAAAACCTTCAGGAAACCTTCCCAGAGCGAAGAAAGTAAGGCAAGAGGGGAGGGAAGATGTGTTTATTGACTGCCTAAGCATGTACCCAGCAATGTGCCTGAGCTGGCTTGTCCTGGCTGTGTGAGAATGAATCATTAAATATTGTACAAGTGCTATGAGCTGGTTGTTAAACATGCCACCATGAAAAATTAAATTCTGTGAACCTAAAATTAAATAGCTTAAAAAAAAACCCAAACAAAGTATTCTATTATACTTAGAATAAAAATGCAGCAACCCCTGACCCCCTTTCAACATGTACTGAATGTTATGTCTGAGTTTGAAGGTATCTGCTTTGACTCTATCTGCGTGGTGGAAATGCTATGTTACAGCACTCTGCGCCTCTTACATTTAGTGAGATGTTGGTTTTGATACTGGCCAAGGTTAGAGTGTTTACACCAGGGGAACTGGCAAACATTATAAGCCGAGGGATTTATTTGCAGGGAGGCAATAGTTCACACTAAATATGCCCCACCTTGACTCAATACTGAATATTCGCAACTCCATTAAATGTTGGTAGCACCCTTTTCAAGCTGCCAACACATTCGATTTACCAGTAAGAATATTAGCAGCAGAGAGCCGAAGTTGCTCCAGATCACACAGCTGGAAAGAAGCAGAGCCAGAGTGCCACCCCCTGACAGTGGGACCCAAAAGGAGTGTGTGTGTGTGTGTGTGTGTGTGTGTGTGTGTTACAAGCTGAAAGGCCAATCAGAATTTAGAGATCCCCTGGACCGCTTTTTCCTTTGCTCCAGACATGCAGACAGCCAAGGCTCTTGGTTCCTCTTTGGGTTGCATCGTGGAGATAAAGAGATATTTTACCCACGGGTTCTGAGATCACTAGCCCACCCCCACTGACTCAGTCATCTCTCATTTACCCCCCGCCCCCACCTGTAACCTTCCTTCCAGAACCCCGTGAGTGGCTAGGTCTGGGGAACTTTTCTGCTGAGCGTTTTCTCAGGAGAAGAAAGAGCATTTCTATTTTAAGCAGTGAGAGATGTACATTAATTATCTGGTCCTCACTGATTTACGGCTGGAGAGGATGCAAATTAACATTGCCTCTCTGAACAACTTCCTTTCCAGGGGAGAAGGCAATGAAAACACCAAGTGTCACCAGCACAGCTACCAGACGGATGCTATGCCCATGAGAAAAGCAACCCATGACCCTGGAACCATGCGGCCAACTCTGGAGGGGGAGACTGTAGGAATGAATGAATAATGGTCTTCAGAAGTAACAGTGAAAGGTAGGCAGGCTAGAAGCTTGCTACACGGAGAGCTGGGAGAGTTACTGGTGGGGGGGT